TTAACCAACACTGATGACAGCTCTCTTGCCCGTCATGTAAGTGTCGCGTCACGCAAAAGCTTAGAAATTCAAGCGTAGTCTATTACAAAACGGCTATCTTTAAAACCATTTGGAGCGAAAATTTGTATGAATATTAGTTTTCAGCTGCTCTTATACATCATTTAAGTAAAATCTCAGGAATATCAATAGTTTTGTAGTTCAAATTTTCGTGATGTCATGTGAAAACCAGCTATTGCATCAATGTTAAGGAGCAATTTGATGTACGTTTCATGATAAAGACATACATATTTAGTCGATAGGGATTCAATATGTTCCAAGTACACAGTGTTCTCGAGGGCACATATTAACTTTTATCGCTGCTTACAAACTAAATAAAAAAATCTTTAGGTCCTGGTACTCGCTTCCGCGAAAAAAGATGATTTGTCTCTTGCAAGCCAAGCCATTTAGAAAAAGCCCCCATTTTGTATATGTTGTTTAATCTCGTACCCAGATCTCTTGTGGGCGAAGTCAAGTATGCCGTTTAGAAAAAGCCCCCATTTTATATATGTTGTGTATATCCACGTTCTCGCGAGCGCGCGCTAATGACGCGAAAATCGTGCGCAGTAGGGATGCGTAATGCAATTCTGAGGAATAACCTCACTGAATGGGAAAGATTATTTTTAGTGCACTATAAATTAGAGAAAGTTTCATTACATAGGTTTTTATTGTAGGCTAGTTAATTAGTTCGTTAGTTAATGTAATGCATGTTAGTTAATGCATTCCTGTTAATATAGTTAATTTATTCTTTGTAATTTTTTTACATGACTCCTAGTAGGAAGACCATTTTTATTGCAAGATTTCGTGTTTTAAATAAGATTGATTGATTGATATTCATGGCTATTTTCAACGTCGGGGAGATTCAATAATCATGATTCTCTGCCTTTGACATCGGTTGATATCAAGCTTCTCTTGTCATCTTGTCTAGACTAACTAAAGCTGAAAATTATGCATACCTCTTACTAACCGAGTTCGAGGTCCGTACAGCAATTTACAGACCGAGTTTTTTCTCCTTCGATTTATGGCCCAAGCGCGAAGCGCGCGGGCCATAAATCGAAGGCTTCAAATTTCTGACGCACCTCGAAAGCAAAACGAGTCAATTTGAATTCGTTTTTAAGTCGTTAGCACGCTTGAATACTCAATTTAGAGTAAAAGAAAGTTTTAACCTTTTACTTGCAATAAAACACTTGGCGATAAGTCACGAAACAGTTTGGCAACAAAACCAACTTTAAATTTTAGCGGGCCGAACAGGAGAATGCGGCCCGCTAAATTGACCAATCACAGCGCGTGTACTAACTAAGAGATATTTAACAAATAAAAAAGCCTAAGCCGTGTTTTACATCGTGATAAAACACGAGGGGCATTTGAGAACACGAGGGAAATGTAGAAAATACGAGCAGCAGGCGAGTGTTTTCTACATTTTGGAGTGTTCTCAAATGTTCGGAGTGTTTTATCACAGACTGTGTAATACGCTGCTTAAGCTTCTTCATTTGCTTTATGATATAGAGGTAATGTGGCGAAAAACAATACAACACGCTTTTTCTATGTTTTATACTCTGATAAACATGGGTTTTTGACCAATCAGAGCGCGCACAGGGTCCTATCCATATTATAAAATGGTATAATTTATGATAGCGATTTGGCCACGGCAAGACGTCTTCTTGGTTTTCAAAAAGATGGCTTTATTAATATATTGAAGCATGTTTGTAATTGCTCTGAATTTGAGTTGTGTATGCAAAATCGCGTAAATGGTAACATCTGCTTTCTACTGTATAAGGTTTCCTGAATACACAGTCTGACATATATTAATCAAGTTTTATTTAATTTTTACAGGGAATTCTCTTTTTGTTTCTCTTTTTGAAATGTTTACTCTGGAAAGAAATCAATTTTGACGTCAATAGGGTTAATTTAGCCTGACTTCAGAGTTCTGAATTTGAAGGTGACAGTTGGTCTTTGTCCAAAAACAAAGACGTTTGAATTTGTTGCAATCTTGTCACGAAAAAATTATAAAAGTAGCAAGCATCTGCCGCCTTTGTACCACTCGGTTAAGTTGTTATTCCACAGTTATAGTTTCTTTCGTACCCTCTGCATCGCCAAGTAATTTTATTTTCACTATTAACTAAGGAATATCACGATCAGTTCCACTAACTAGGCAGTTTTACCCCAGCAGGTGCTGTCGTGAAGTTGATTTTACCTTGCACCACAAAAAGAGAATGATTTCCCGGTGTATATGCACTTCAAAATGATAAATCAGTACCTTAAACATATATTTAAAGATTTATATTCTATGTTGAATGGACAACCTTTATGGCTCTTTCTCGATCTGAAAGTGACAATTTTATTTCCGAAAGCGGAAATAATCGACTGAGTCAGCACAAGAGGATTAATGCAATAATCGCAAGTAACCAAAGTTGTCTTATTTGTGCACCGGTACATTTGGAACTCGGAAATGAAAAGAATACTTTCCATTTAGTAACTCCCTGTGCTGTTACGTTCCTTAGGAAAAACGACATTAACATTAATAAAAACGTCAGTCTGACTTATCCTCATTATTATACCACCTGCAAAACAAAAACAAATTTGAATTTAAAGTGGCCTTTTAGTCACTGCACGCAAAGGATCGTTTCAAAATGTCGCTAACCTCAAGTTCAGTAATCGAATCCACCTTACTTGTTATTATTTGCACAGCTTCGATTCTGGGCAATATGACTCTGTTTTTCATCATCACAAGAAAAAGGCCCCTTCGCACTATCTCGAACGGTTTTCTTCTCAACCTTGCCTTCGCTGATTTGCTCGTGTCAGTGTTAAACATGCCAATTACTGTGGTCACCATTGTAGAACAACGGTGGATATTTGGAGATAGAGCCTGCAACCTTCTGGGATTCACTACAATGCTGTCGTTTGTTTCGTCGGTCATGTGGCTAGCCATGATAGCTATCAACAGATATTATTACGTGGTGCAATGGAAAGTCTACCCTTCCCTCTTCACACCTAGAAGATCGGTGCTATTCGCGGGAACCGTGTGGTTGATATCTTTGTTATTATCCATCCCTCCGCTGTTTGGCTGGGCTGAATATCGTTATATACCTGGCAAATCTTACTGTTTTGTATCCTGGCCTTCTGATGTATATTACATGTATTTCATGCTGATAATATGTTTTTTCGGACCTCTAAGTATTATGTGCCTGTCGTATTATAATATTTTGAAATTCACTAGAGAAGCAAAACAGCGTGTTAATCGTCACCGAGATGATGGATTATTACAACAGGAGACACAAAGAAAGCAAGAAAATAATACTAATGTTTATGAGCAAAACAGAAAGCGTTTACGGATGACTCAAGAAGAAGTAAAGATAACGAACACTTTGATGATTGTCGTCGCTTGCTTCATGGCTTGTTGGGCCCCATTTGCCATTACTATGTTTTTTGACGTGTACTATTCACGCCCGCTACCAAGAACAGTTGACATCAGCACGTTACTGCTAGGTTACGCGAACAGTATGTGCAACCCAGTTGTGTATGGAATAAGAACTCAAGCTTTCAGGAGAGAACTGGTTGGCTTCTATACTTCTTGCTTAGAAAAAGACAGAGTTGATGTTCCTAACAGTTTTCCTGTGAGCTCTGCAGCTGTTTGTGAAGGAGATACCCTAGAGACCCAAGAGACACCTAATGTGTCACGTGTTAGCCGCGAACAAAATCAACCGATAGAACTGAAATCATTGCATCTTGAAGCCAAATTTCCACGATTAAAAGAATTTTAGTCGATCAGCTGAAATCGCAAAGTTTAGAATCTTGAAACATTAACTAATAATATTTCTCACTATTTGAAGCTTGTACCTGTTTCAGCAGATATGATACCGTCCCCTGTAAGATTATGTAAACATTTTGCGTCTGTGTTTTATGTTTCAGTCTGTTATTTTTTTAGTCCTTGATATTCACCTCCGAAAATTATACTAAAATTCGTCTCGGTGAATATTCACCAATGTTCACTGAGCCTGAGGCGAATAATTGTTAAATATTTATGAGCAAAATAGGTCAATATAATAATGTATTATCGTTGTGATAATAATCATAAATTAAGTTTAGTTTAGTTTAGTTTAGTTAGTTAGTTTAGTTTAGCTTAATCTTTATTTGTCCACGGTAATTCTTCAGCTAAAAATATACCTGACAAATAATGCCTACGGGGATAAGTTGAATCAGAAAAGCCATTCACTTCAAACTGAATTCAGTTGTTCTCTCCACCCTGTTCTAAATATTTTTGATCTGAGCAAACCTATTTCGCCTTTAATAATGTTGCCATTACCCGATGTTTTTTTTTTCCCTAAAAAGATAATATGTAACTACAGGATAGGAACTTTAATTGCTATAAGATTTACAAGGTAGGAATGACCAAATAAATTAAGCGTTACGTTTGTTGACATTTCATTTATTAATGTAACGTTTTTTACATGTTTAGCACGTTTCTGAAGCATTCAGTATTATCACTTACTTTTTTTCTGATGTTTTTAACTATTTACGATGATAACAAGGTGAGACATTTACGATACATCTATGGTAATTCATATCGATGTCGTACCAAGCAGAAGTAAATCTTTCATTTTATGAATTTTACACATTAAAAAACTGTCTTGTGTTACAAAAGAGATAACAATTTTTTATTAGGCTAAAAGAAGCAGTTAGCTCAGGCAAGCAGAGTATACCACCTTTGGATAGCACAGACACCGTGTGGTGCGAAATGTTTGCGGGAGTTTAATTTTGCGGATCGGGAATCTATATTTTTTGCATTTTGTTGGAACTGATTTTTGCAATTGTGAGAAACTAGTTTTTCGAGGTGGGCATCAATTTTTGCGATTGTCGCGATTGAAATCGCGTTTTTTTGAGATATGACATTTTCGGGTTTTTATTTAATCAGACCGTACACAGTTATCAGTCACTCTGTTACAAGGCTCAAAATTAAGTCTTGTCACAATACTAATGTGGCAGATAGTACCTTCAGAAAATACTTTTTTGCAAACATTTTAGCAGCTACACCTGTAGTATACCATGGGCAGTTTCATCGTTTTATTTAAAGAGACGTTTTAATGTAAATAAATGGCATCGACAAGATTCTACATGTGGGGTTTGTAACTTTTGCGAATTTTTTTTTCTGTTTTTTTTTTTTTTGCGAGAGCATTTTATTGCGGATCGTGGAAAGACTAAAATCGCAAAATTAGAACCCGAAAAGATGTAGTGCCACACGGTATTTATTTGATTCAGTTAAACATCTCAAACGTGACAGTGAAATGTATTATTGTTGCGGTACTGTTCGTTTGTTTTTCAGACATGGCAAATACTTGGAATATAACTCGTTAAAACTTTTCCTAAATCCCGCATTTCTTACTCCATAAAATATCGGATTGAACATACTATTCGCATAACCTAGCAACAACGAACCAAAATCTACCCCCCGGGGGTGGGTTGTGAATAATATACACTAAGAATCATGGTTATCGCAAAAGGAGCCCAACAGAAGACAAAACACGCCACGACAATGACTAGGGTGTGAGTTATTTTTGTTTCTTCAACCGACATTCGTAATCTAGGTATAGATCCTCCGTTTGGTGGCGCCAGATCAGTTTCTTTGGTGACATTAATTCTGTTTCTGAATGTGGCCAATCGTCTTTTGTGGTTTCTTGTAAATGATAATATCTTGAAATAGAACAGGGCCATGACCGATAGTGGACCAAAAAAACACGTAGTAATCATGAAATACATGTAGTGAACATCGGATTGCCAATAAACAAAGCAGAAGGACTTGCCGGGAATAAAACGGTATTCCGCCCAGCCAAGGAGAGGCGGGGACGCCAGCGCCAGAGAGGTTGTCCAAACTAAACCCAGACACAGCGAGCCCCTCGGTGTGGTGAAAGTTCTTTCATACGTCTGCCATTTAACGACGTAAAAATATCTATTGATGGCGATCAATCCTAACGAGCTGACGGACGAGATAAAAGAAGCAATGGTAACAAAACCAAAGAGAACGCACACCTTGCTACTAAACATCCACGTGTTGGATGCAACATTTATAAAAGTGACCGGCATGCTAGCCAGTGACACCAGCGTATCGGCGGCAGCGAGATTCAGAACAAAAACATTTGACATAGTCCTTAGTTCTTTTTTCCGCAACACAATCCAGAATAAAGTTCCATTTGCAATCAAAGCCACAAAGCAGATAATGGCTAGGACTGTTAATTCGACAATTGACGTGGCATCGTGACTCATCTTGTGGCATTCTGGAGATCCTGAACTGTACTTTCAGTCATAGCGTCTCCTTTCCAAGTGAACAAGATATCGAAGTTAAACGTGCAGATCTTACAGGTTCCTGTTTATTTTTCAATCACAGCAGATTTTAATAAACGACGTGTCGCCTCAGCAACTTTAATTTAGAAGCTGAGCTACATGTGAAGACGTTAATGTGTAATGTGTTGACATAAAAGCGGCAATTAGCTCGATAAATGATGGCGTTATGCTAGAAAGTAATTTACGAAAACAGCCGGTTTATAGTTTTGAATTTTTTATCTTCTACGTTAAAGCTTTTGAAGTTTTTCAATATATGGACTGCAGTTCATGGAAATCCACTTTTTTTTCAAATTCAATTATCCATGAATTCTTCTGACAAAATTGCGACATTTTGGCATGCCCCTATCATGACTTTTCTCTTTTTAAATGTAAAGGAAATTTGCTGACGCAAATCTCAAAACAGTGTGAGAAGGAGCAGATCAGTGAGAAAGTAATTAACATGAGAAAAACCTAGAAGGTTGTTTCTTAAAGCCATACATATTGCCTAAATTTGCATGTATATTGGTCGACACAAATGTCAGGCTGCATGGTGGGAAAGGACAATTTTTCTGCAGCTGTTCATCAACGGATGAGGAAGTGGCACTTCTCATTGTCCAACCTTAGTCTTTCCTTCAAGCTTTAGAGCTAATTATCCTAATTTTTCTCAGATATAATGTCTGTTTTAGTTAGAGTTTGGATTTAAAGACAATTTTATTCCAAATTCTTTACATTTCTTGCATCCTTAGTCTGTTTTCTCATTTTCAAAATCAATATTAGTGCTGCCAGTAACGTTCTGACTTAAAGTTTCAGCCTGGTATCTCCATCTCGGCATTTTGGTTTAAGCATCTTTTGCTCTGAGTTTCTTAAAATTAATCACTCGGGATGTATATTATCAGAGTTAAGCTTAGATATTTGCTATTAAAGTTGCGTCGTTGTGTGTCCTCGTAATCCAATTGCTCATTCGGCCGTTTGCCTCACCTTCAAAGTTCTGTTCAGGAAGATTCTTGAATTTTTCAGCACGTGAGGTGTTTGTCGTAACATCATAGTTTGTCGATAACTAAAGTCAGTAGCAATAGCTTTGTTAGTATTTTCGTATTTTGAACTCATATATGCCTCATTTGTGATCACGTGATAACTAGCATGAACTTTGCTAATTACGCTAGATATCAAGCTGTAAAATTCGTGGACCGACCCGTTTCGAAAACGCTCAACATCTTTGTATATGAGAAGAGTGTATAAGGCCTGATTCCATCCAAAGCTTTCATTAAAAAAAAAAAAACAAAAAAAACAGCATTCTGCGAATTAGGTTGTCTTCGAAGAGCGAGCCCACGATTTGCAAGCTGTCGCAATTCTCATCCCCAATTTCCACGCTCTCCGCTTGCAACGCCTGGAACTATGACCCCTTGGAGACCAAGACAAAAAGTGTTACATGAAGTAGTTGTTGGGGCTTTCCCAGAATCCTTGGGAGCAGGCATTAAAAAAAGCATGACTTTGTTAATGTCGTTCTTGTTTACTCGTCTCTTTGAGTATTGCCACCTTTCATATTGACAAACAAAAAGCACGACCCGAATTTTAAGACCCAGGTGTTCCTACGGGAGCCCGAGTAGTTATTCAAATTTAAAGAAAACGACTGATTTTCATGTAGATCTGCAGAGAGTACATAAGTAGAATCGACATGACAAATTTTTAGCCAATAAAGTCGAAGCACCTTGACAACTAAAATTTAACACAAAAATTACGAAAGAATGACAGGAATCGTCGCATATGTGTTATTAGAATAAGTAATCGCATGATTTTTCTCATACAATTTGAACGAAATAAGAACTCGTAAATTTTTCAAAAACTACAAATTGCACTCATACATCGTAAATTGAGCAAAGTCACTTATGCTTCCTAATTAAACTCCAAATTGATAACCTAATACAAATTAACTCCCTCGGCAAGTGTTGCAAACTCGCGTTCACTGAGAACAAGAAAAGTTTCACTATTGCTTATCGACAGAACAATAAAAGTGTAACCCAAGTCACATTTTATTGAGCCTATATATGTTATTGAGCTGAACTGTATTTTGACGATTTCGGCCGTGCGAGAGGTTTCGCAGTTAAAGGCCCCATTTTGAAACAAGGCCGAAGGTATTGCGAGATAAAGAGTTTTTAAGGAAATTTTAGGATTTCGTAGTACGAAATTAGCTTGTTAATTAGAAACCTTCAAATATCAATTGAATGATTTTTCAAATGAAACTTGAAGATTGTGGCCAGGGTGAGAAACTTGTATTCACACTTTAAGTTTTCATGCACAGGTTTGAAAAATGGCGCCTACACATCATGTATGGGAAAATTTTCGGACAAATGGATGAGAAATGAAATATTCACTCCATATATTCCACAGTGCGGCCACAAACCTGACGTTTCATGAGTAAAATCATTGCTTTTACATCTTAAGTTTATGATTCATAAACAACGCTAAAATTGATTTTGACACATTTGTTTAGTATCAAGAGAGGATGAAGGGTACAATTGATCCCATATAATCCCCATATAGGCCTTGTTCCCTCTCAAGCTTTTTTTTAGATCACTCCAACTTTCGGAAATCCCACTAGGAATTTAATAATGTTATTTGATGCAGAAGAGAGATTCTACAAATGTTTTTTGAGTACGCAAATAGGCCATTTCCGAGTCTTCGTGTGAAACCAGTCTGATGAAAATCTTTTCCCCTGCAGGTTCATTTTCATGTATATAAATCAAACTCGTTTTCATAAGAAAGGTTTTGCAAGAGGAATCGTTTTGCAACAGGGGCACAAGTTAACTCGGAAATTTCCTATTTCCAATCGTTCCTTGCCACCCTCTTATGCTGAGCACAATCCTATGTATCTCTGCCCCCTCTCTTTCACTCTCTCTTTCGCCTCACCCCTATCCCCAATGAGATCAACTGAGAAATATATTTACTTTTCAGTTTTCATGAGGCCAACTTTGTCATGATTTGGGACACATTATCCATATCTCAGTTAAGGACGTTCGCGCGAAAATTTTCCAACATTGATATTTTTCCGAGACTTTTACCACTGTAAGATGATGAGTTAGTTATGTCAGAAATGTGAAAAAAATGAGGGGTCACCGACTTCGTTTTGGAGAGAACATGCCTGGAAGAACACCCTAAATCTGAAAAAGTCGGGCTTCGTTAGCAAATAAGGCCACGGTGTCTGTAAGCCCCAAAATATTTCAACTAGATCTTTGAAGTGAAATGTACTCTGCCAAATATTGTTTAAGTCTACCTACCTATTAAGTAAATTTAGTCAACTGGGGAGGTTCCTTAAAGAACAAGTTCGCATTTAATGACCATAGTTTCACGCGCCTTGCAGCCGCCAGATGTCAGGATTCGATGTCCCGTGGACAGAAATCTTGAAATTTCTTTTAACTTGCCACATTGATTTTTCTGTTCAGTTTTAGACAATGTGGAGATAATTGTAAATAAAATCTGTTTCTGGGAAGAAAAGTAAGGGTCATCGAACGTCCAAGATCGTTAAATCCAAGCAAAGCTATAGCAAAGGCCATCTGTCCTATCATTATTTATTTTAGTACTTAGCGCGCGCTCTCATGCATGACGTGGCGTAAATTGAAACAGAAACTGAAACTGAACTGAATTTGCGTGCGTAGTAAGGATGCGCAGAAATAATAGCGCGAACGTCCTTAAGCCAATCATATGTTTACATTTCAAACCGTCTCTACATTCTAACTTAGACAACCTGTAGGTGAGAATCTCTTGCTAAGAGAGCGAGGTATTATTTTCCTAAGCTCTCCTTTTTACTAAAGAATGATTCGGAGGTGATGCAAAGGACATTATTTTGTGATATGAAATTTTGGGGCGTTGTAACTGAGGTACGTAAAAGCAGAAACCCGTAGATTTTGGGGAGGCTAGTAAATTTTCAATTTTATGGCTGTCTTGAAAGTTTCTTCAATGCAACAGAAAAACCACTTATACATGTATTCAGTTCTGTTCTGCTTTGCTTATTCTGCCGTTTTCTGAAAGCAAGTATTAAAGATGTCAAATTGCTAAACTTCTTCGCTTTTTCGTGCATTGCAAGCCAAGTTTTGTTCTATTTAACACGGTTAATCAGCATAGTTTAGTTAAGATGTCATATTGCTAAAACTCTTCGCTTTTTCGTGCATTGCAATCCATTTATTTATTCTATTTAACATGCATGATCATTCCGCATTTCAGCCATCCGTATATATAATTTATCAAAACAAATATTACTATTACATCACAGGAGGGAATCATACAAAGTGAAGGAACAAGACTTTTTGAATTATTCCTTTCAACAAAAATACTCCTTCGAAAGTAAACCTGTTCAACTTTCAGAAATAATTGTTTTCTTTTTCTAAAGCTTTTGATCCTCAGATTGCCTCCACAATAGCGTCACTTTTTTCTCTTTTCCGTTGGATATGGCAGCCCAAATAAGTCATACATTCATTAAAGAAGCAATCACGATCACCAATGTCGCACGAGTCTAAGGGACAGTCCAGCTGCAGGTCACAATGCTTTTCATAGTTCCCACAATAAGTCACACATGACAGCTGATGGGGAGGAATCCGATTGGCGGAAGACAGGGAAATAATCCCAAATATCATGACTGCAGAGAGCGTGGAGGATAGTTTCATCTGAAAAAATAAAGAAAGAAATTCCATTATTTAAAACGTTTTCTGAATTACTTGCAAAATTAAAGACTCTTTTGTTCATAATTTTATCCCGTCATCGTAACATAATGCCTCTACATTGTAAAGATAATTTAGATTTTGAAAGTGTTTGTGACTTACATCGGGGAGGTCTGGAACCCAGTATAGAAACATTTTAGGGACAAACATGATAACGAAATACAGGAATTTAAAGTAAGCGTTGCCTCAGTTTTTATTCCAACGATGCGATTCTAAGACAAATATCTGAAAACGTAAGGATAAAGAGAATAGCAGAAGAATCGCTCATCAACTCCAAGAACGAATGCAACTCCACGTGCGATAGTCACAAATTGCCGCGCACTCCCACTGAGATGGGGTATCTCCTGGTGACTTACATGAAGATAGAGAACATGTGGGCTATTTCAATGGTTTTTTACGTTAACAAAGTATCATTTTCAATACAGTGGACGACTGACGAGGCTTACATAGCAAGATATATTAAAAGGAAACATAAAAAAACTAAAATAAATGAATCGAACTACCACGGTTTTCGTTTTCTTAATATAATTTTTTTTTTTTAGATTTTTGAAGTGATTTTAAGTGCGTCGGTATGTGGATAAAAGCTGTGCTGCCTTGGTTTTCTCGTTGTGACTTACGGTTTGAGGGATAGTTTCTTATTTCGGCCCTTTGAAATATTCCGTGAAATATGGGCATCACTTCTGTTAGCCCTCGTGTAGCCGTATGGCTACTCAAAGGCTATCATTCTGCTTTCACAAAATCATAGTGTGTGGTTACTGAAATAAATGTGGCTGATACGGAAAGAAGTCATCTGCACGCCTCCATCTGCACGCCTTCACCTGCACGCTTCCATCTTCACGCTTCCGATTGGTTTATCAACAATGAAATTGAACGGTTGACGTTGTAACTTGCATATGTCCCGAGCCGTGAAACCCTCGCTATAAAGGAGAGCCGTATTTGTAGTTTGTGCACATTTCTTCTATTATTACCACCCCATAGCGATTTTAGTGCACGGTTCTACAAACCTTTAAAAAGTTAGCTGATCTGTTGTTCATGAAAACATCATGAAATAGAAATACCATAAGTTTGAATAAAAAGGAGCAACGGAAACTTGAATAAAGATAATAATTAGTATTAAAAACTGGATCACTGAATAATGCGATTCAAGAGTTTTCATTGGCTTAGCCATCGTGGTATATGAGCCATTATATCATGATCCACAAATATAGTAATTGTTGCTGTAATTTTTTGGGGTGGGTTTTTTTTCCTATTTTAGTTTAGTCCTCTATACTTTGGTGGCGTTTTTAATAAATCAATTACTCCACTCGCGCTTGTTGGATATGTCGATGATTGCAGTGATCACAACCATTTTATAACGATTTTAATGTCACTGTGAAAACGGTCTTTAAAAAAATTTCTGGCTCACCCTATAGCAGCGCAAACAAAAAATAAAAAATAAAAAAACAGTGGCATGGAAAAAAAATTAAATTTTATGGTAATGACAACATTGAATTAACATGGAAAACAATTACGGCGTATAAGGAATAATGTAAAGAAAATGTCTGCCTGGAGCATTTACAGGCTGTAATGGTTGACGCATTCTGTCAACAAGTTAGTAGTTGTTGTACCGTAAAACATGTGTATTTTGTGTAAACTATTTGGGAATACGCGGAGCAAATAGCGAACAGCGAGAAGTATTTCGTAACTGACAACAGCACTTGAAGAGAATAACTTACAAGCTGTCTAAAATGACAATTAACCAACTGAGTTTTTGTTGCCCAACATAGAGCGGATATTTGATCCTTATATTGGCCTACCAGGAGCAGGTTCTAAAGTGTGCCCAAGTTGACTAACAAAGCAAAAAACAAATTGAAGAGTAGATAAATGAAAATGTCATTTGTAAAACTTACCTTTGTTTAGATATGCTAGTCTTTCGTGAAACCTTTCTGGTCAGAAAGCATACGCGTATATACAAGAGTACTTCCCTAGGAATCAAACGCTTGTATTTAAACTATCGGACAGATTGAATGGCATCAAGATAAGATTTACTGAAAACTTCCCCCACATATATGATAACAAAAAACAATTTATTTTTTTTCCTTGTGAGCATATTAATTATACTTATCGCTACCAATCTTTGTTTTCACCATGTGGAAACGTTTTATTGTTTAAATTTTCCATTTTTTTGAAATCTTTTCTTACCCAGCAGCTGCCTGCTATACACACCGTGAAATAACTAATAACCACTGAAATTAAAATCTGTTTTGTTGTTAAAATCTGAAGGTTGTATATTGTGCTGCTATTACGGTTAAAATCAAAATGATTCCGTTAAAACCTCCCCCAAATCGGGAAAACTGGACGAGATCAAATGGTTGGCAATGTTGTAAATTAAACTAGCACTTCTTGTTTGTTCGTTTGTTCAATTAACTATTTGTCAGTAATGCCAGTAGCAAGATATACGTATTTGTTTTAAAATTAAACGCTCAAATAAATTATAGGTTGTAGGTCGTTCGCAGGGAAAACACTGAATCTTCCCTTCGTCTTGAAATTTAAGTGCAGAAAGGAACTGTAGATCAGGACAAAATATGAGAACGTAGATATGCAGAGCAAAACTGAAAAGTAAACTCTTGGCTGATAGAGAAAGGCTTCATCGATTTATGGAATTTTAATTAAACGTGAATGAAAATAATACTGATTGCCGAGATGTACAGCGCATATAGAGAACAGGTTGGCAACTGCTGGCTAAATAAAAAATACAGATTTATGATATTGAACAATCGAAAGATATTCATCTATCAATGACTATCTCTTTACATTTTAAAAGGAAACCGTCAGATGGCCTAAAATCCAAGCCTTTTGTTTGTGTTAATTAAAGGACGGAGAGGCGTGAAAAAGTTAACAGATACATTCTACATAAGGATGCGGCAGAGGAACATTCAAATTTAACTTACACCTTAACTTGGGCCTCACAGGCAACGATCAAAATCACTGAAGATAGCAAATTTAACTTAAATTTGAAGCGCATGTGAACTCGCAATTACCCTTGCTCGTAGTTACGTCCCAAATTTATATATTGTGGAAACTCATGACGCCCCGTCCACGCGTATCCGGTTATGAAAACGGAGATCTTTTTTCCTCCGTTTTCGAAAAATACGCTTCCGCACGTGGCGTATTCTAATCGGTTTGCCCGCCGTCCCCTACAGAGCATGCGCAATGCCTTTTTACATATAAGCCCGCATGCTGCGATTGGCCCCACTTTACTCTACCGTTTATTCTCGTTCGAAATCATAAAACATGTAAGATTAGCTATATAAAGTCCAGAAAATCCAAGGCCAAAAGCAAAGTTGACTTATTCGTTTGCACAGAAGGCGAGTTAGAGCTTTATTTAAAGTATATCGAAGGGCCGGGCCACCCAAATACAAATATTAAAATTGAAATAAATTAACTTGATTAAATATCGCAACACATATCAGTTATGGAAACTGACGTGTGCTGCAATATCATCGTTGTCCTCATATATAAACAATAATTTCACTCTATGTAAAGCTTTAATTGATTTTTCTTATTTTATTTTCTTATGTATTGCATATAAAATTTGCGACAAAAAGATCATTTCTGCAAATGAAACACTGACTGAAATTCATACGACCTCGATCGTTCTTGATCACGGTTTTGTTTGTTTGTTTGTTTGTTTGTTTTTTGGTCTCTTGATTAACTTATTGCCATTTTAAACGTTTTATTTGCCTGCCGCGCTGTTCAACAAGATCAGTATTTAATTTTATACTTCACTTTTTATTTCACCAAGTATGTCGATAATATGGAAATACCCTTTAAAAGCATGTGTCATTTCAGTACGTGGGTACGTGCATGTTTCTTAAGAATCGAGAAACAGCCTGGGAATTGACAGCATATGGTCAATATGCATTTTTGCAGCGTGTTCAGTCGCTAATAAGGGAAGCTTTGTAGTGCAAACCAACTGAAAATAGTCCATGAATATCTTGATAAATGAAAGTCACATGCGGGTTTATATCTTTTACGATGACCGCGAAGGCTACATTTCTGGCTCTTTCGACGGCGCTGGTTGGTGAAAAAGGCAAAGCAAAGGAGTCGACCTCGAGGAGACAGGGTAGTTAAGATAGTATAACATAACTCAATAATAAAATTAATACGGATCGAAATCAAATAGAACAGAGCCTTCTTGACGGTTGGGTGCGCTGGCAAACATTGCATGGAGTGTCTGTCAAAGAACTATGTGTAACCTAGTTTACTGATCACGTACGCCCATGGGCTGAAATAGCATGCAATGCAAATATGCGGCAACAAAATCCGTATGCCAATAAACCTTTATAGCTTACCGTGTGGCACTGAATTTTTGTGGTTTCTAATTTTTGCGATTTTTGCGGTTTTTTCCACGAACAGCAAAAAAAGGTTCCCGCAAAAAAAAATTCCCGCAAAATTTCTCACCGCAAAAATTTACTCCACTAGGCAAAATTATATCTACAAACATCACATGTAGAATCTCCTTGATGTCATTTATTTGAAACGTCCCCCTTCGTTTAGAAAGAAAAGGATGAAATGAGAAACCAAACGTTCCGAGAAATAAAAAGGTTTACGGGAAAGGATCGTCTAAAAGTATTCCATTGAGAAGAGCATCTACAATTCAACACAAGAGCACGATGTATAATAGTGATATAGTGACACTGATTACTGAATTACAGTGTTTTACATTTTCACGTGTTGTTTCACTTGTCAATCGTGTGCAGTTTAATTTAAAAATACGAAAATGCCGTAATTTCAATCAAACGCGACTTCCCAAAAATCCCAAAAATTAGTACCCAGAAAGAAAAACCAGACTTTAACAATCGAAAAATAGTTTCCCCCAAAATACAAAAAATCACCGATTCGCAAAAATAAACTCCCGAAAAAATTTAGTGCCATGCCACACGGTAGGCGGTCTGTTGCCCATTTCAGACCATGTGATGATACTCTTGAGAATTCTTGCTTTCAAATTTTCAAATAGTCCGGCTTGTATATGAATAAATAATTTTACAAATATCATTTTAATTTGAGATAATTTAATAACTTTGTATATGAATGAATAATATTTAGATGGAAGAAAGAACAATTTTCTAGAGGACACACGTAGTGTGTAATGGGAGAACAAACCACCCAAACTCAAAAATATTTATGTACCTACTTCAAATAATTTATTCATTATATAATTCTTTATTCGACTTCCATCCTTACCTATGTTGATTCTGAGTATTTGCTTCTTTCTTCCAAATTTCAAAGCATTTTTATTTTTCAGTATGGTTTTTCGCCGCAATGTCTTAGGTTGATGTTTTGATTTGTCTTGTTTTTTTTCTCTCTTCTTCCTTTTTCTCTACTTTACTCTGCCGTGTTCCAGAATATGACATTCTCATTAACGTGAACCAGTGAAGGTTGTCGGAATGCAGGTTAGAAAGAGTAAGGATCATGATATCATGTTCCGAGGGGAGTTTGGGAGGGTCTAGCTTTGACGAGTGTTTCGTCAGATAAACAAGTGGTGTTTACAACTGAAAATAAAACGCCTACAATACTACCTGCGGCTTGGTTAACTAAGAACCAGTCGGTTCAGGTTATCGTTCTAGGCTCCCTCTGTTCCGCCTTCTCGCACTTAGTATATAGAAACAGACATCCCAATGTAGTTAATACCAATTCAACCACATGTAGTAAGGAACAATTGACATTTACGATGCACGAGTTCATCTATTGAGACTGATTACAAAGCAAATAACTCCTCCTCGTGAGGCATTAAATTTCTGGGGTGTGTTCTTCCTTATTTTAGGACAGACTTCCCGAGGCAAACCCTTGCCAATCGACGAGAGGACCCACAATTCGTTTATGCAATGTAACTCTTGTAACACATTTTGCGGTTACCGAAGCAAAAGAAAGGTACCAATATTAGACTAATATTTATATCTAATCGAACCTAGTATTTTTGCGAGACGTCACCTTCGCATATACTTGATCATGCCATGTGGCACATGAGACTTCCACATTGCATGGTGAGTCGTAGTCAAGCCAAAATACCCATGGCGGGATATCGTACACTCTAATACTAAGAAGGGTTAATCCTGATAAGAAGTTAAATCCATGGGTCTACCTGAAAAATTAGACAAATTTTAAATTAGGAGAATACTGTTTTCTTTTGCCCATTTTGGGACGCTCAACAAAATGTTTGCAATATTCTTTAAATTGGTGTCACGTGCTTTTTTCGAGTTATCTAGGCGCAAATCATCTAATTCATGAAGGCTTCTCAAGAGTCCGAAAGCACGTTTCACAAACAAAGTCTATTTTCATCGCAACGAAAGCGAACCACTTGACCCTGAGGCTATCTTGAAACAGTGTCACTGAAGTTCAACACACACGCAGCGTCCGATTACGTAAAAGTGGTACCCTCTAACGTCATGAAAATACCAAAACTCAAATAGCTAATCATCACATTTTATTTCGGTCAGAAATTTTACCAAAAAACAAAAACAAATGATAGACCTTTGTATATTATTTCGAATATTTGGTTTTGCAAATGAAGGCCAACGTCTGAATTTTGTCGCCGGTTCCTCTTAGAAGTGATTTTACATATGTTGTGAAATAATAATAATTTTTTCATGTAACGCTACGGTGACCTCAAACTATTCTTTTGCTCAACAATATAGTATCTGTAATAGTATGTAGAATCTATGGTCGACTTTTCTTTAAAAGCTACCCTTAATATTTTTCTCTCATTATTTGCTTCGGTCTATCTCAAGGGATTAACTAATCATTTGAAAAACGAATACAAAAGAAAGTAGTGATGTGTCACACGCGCGCAGGAAACCTCCATAAACAGTCAAGACTTTGTCACAGCAGAAAACAATAGTTCTCATTTCCCAAATCGCTGGAATTTTTAGAAATTCTCTAGGTTTTCCGGGTTTTGCCGATTTTAGCGAGACTAAAATAACATATTACTATATCTTTATATGTTTATAATTGTCCTTTTTTAAACATGTGCCATTTTGTAAAA